CATTTACTCACCCTCAAGTTGTCAGTAATCAAACAGTCGATGGCCCCATTGACTGTTTGGTTACTGACATTCTCCAAAAAAGATATTTTGTGTTCAGCAGAATAAATAATTCATAGAGGTTTGGAACAACTTGAGGGTGAGTAAATTATGACAGAATTTTTGGGTTAACTATCCCTTTAAGTAAAACAAACAAAAAAAAAAAAACTTTTGAACAAAGCTTTGTCAGGCCAACATTCCAGGACTGTCTCAACAACAACCTTTGATTTTTGAGATAAAATTCTGTTAAATGAATTTATTTGAATTTAAATTCAATTCTACTTTCATTCTGGTTTGAATTGCAATTCCACATCCTGTTTGCAACCTCAATTCAAATTCAAGAACTGAATTGAAATTTAAGAGGCATTCTCAATGGTTTACATGTGGATATAATGAAATTGACTTGGTTTTACCTTTACAAATCAGTGTAATGGTTCGTAGACCCCTTGTTAGGGTGCATCGGTTTGAGTTAGAGCAGTGATTGCTGTGAGTGCAGTTTCATCCCTCCTGGGGTTTTGGCTGCTTTGGTGTCCTTCCCTGTTTTCATTGGTAATCTTCACTGATTAAAGGTCTCTCAAAGCGAGACTGTGTGTGTGTGTGGGATGTCTTAGATGGTATCTGATGCTTAAGAAATGATTTTTCTCTGGTGCTTGTTCCTGTCATCCTCTCCTCCTCATCAAAGTGGATTTAGTGACTCAGTGTTTCGGGGTTTGGTCTTTCTGAGCGATGTCACGCTTGAGATCAGCCTGCTAATATTGGGCGATGAGTTAGCTTTGGTAAAAAAAAAAAAAGAAAAAAAGTGTGTGTGTGATTTGTTTCTGTAGGTTTTAAGTGGTGTTTGCTAAATCATTGTTGCTCTTGCTTAGCTTTAAAGGGCTAGTTCACCCAAAAAAAATGAAAATTCAGAAATAATTTACTCATTTACATTTAGCCATTGTGCATATACTCATCCTTTCATTTTGTTCCAAGCCTGTAAGACATATTTTAAATTTTTTTGGTGTACTATTCCTTTAAGGATTTGAACAAACCTCAAACAACTTTGGCATCCTTTGCCAGCATGGCAGGTGTGTTGAGTGCTGAGTTTTTGCATGGGTGAGAATCACACGTTAACTTCACAAAATGTAAAAATCCAGGAGAGAGAGAGAGAGAGAGGGGAAGGGGAAGGGGAACGATATATGTGGGGAAGGGGAACGATATATTTTTCTCGTGGCCACGACTTCATATTTTGAGAGAACGACATCTATTTGTCGTGGCCACGAGTTATGTTGAGGAAGCCACATTTGTGTCTTCAAATGCTATTGAAGTTGGAAACGTTTATGCCAATGTCACATGTAATTTTGAGACGGTCCCTAAAATGCGAATATCGAACGTCCAACGTCAAACCAACTTCATGCCAGTGCAAAAGTGTGACAAAAAAGCCCATTCAATTTAAGAATGCGCTTCAGGTGTCTTTCACTTATAACGTACCCTACCCATGTCTTAATGCCAAAGCACTATATATTTATATGACATTCCTAATTTAAAGTAAAATGTTATTTCTTCTGTCATCTCCATCTCTGCTGTGGCCCAGTCTATGCTATGGTACGGTTACAGTATTGGCTGATGTGGCTTCCTCAACATAACTCGTGGCCACGACAAATAGATGTCGTTCTCTCAAAATATGAAGTCGTGGCCGCGAGAAAAATATATCGTTCCCTCAACATATGATCTCGAGGCTACGACTTTGCATCGCGTGGCCACGACATAATTAACGTTATGTCGTTACCTCAACAAAATGATATCGTGGCCATGACTTATAATCACGTTCCCACGACTTAATATGACCTTCCCACGAGATATTATCATGTTCCCACGAGTTTATATGTTGTGGCCACGACAAAAATAAGTGAACCCAACATGTCCCCTCCCGGTCACCGTATAATTTAGAGAGAGAGAGAGAGGTCCTCAAATGAGGGCGCTGGAATGACAACTCTTTTGGCTGTATGGCCTCATAACTCTGAAATGAGAATGATCGGAAGGAAAGGGAGGAATCTACTTACAGCTAATCTACTTCTTCACATGAACCCAAAGTCACACACACACACAGCTGTGGAAAGTGTGTGAGGGGAGTGCGGTAAGTTAATAGCAGCAGAGGGAGTCACACAGTTTAAGAGTTTAAGAGCTTCTGTGTATTTCTCCGGAAGACTCGGATGGGAAGAGCATCACCTCTCAACAACAGAAGAATTAAACACGTGTGTGTGTGTGTGTGTGTGTGCGTGTGTGTGTGTGTGTGCGTGTGTGTGTGTGTGCGTGCACGTGTGTGTGTGTCTCTCTCTCTCTGTGTGTGTGTGGGTCTGTGTGTGTCTCTGTGTGTGTGTGTGCGTGCGTGCGTGCGTGCGTGCGTGTGTGTGTGTGTGTGTGTGTGTGCGTGTGTGTGTGTGAAGGTAAAAGGATCCGTCTTCTAGAATTTAAACTCTCACATACCAAACACAGCTGCTCACAGCACACACTGCAAAAAAATATATATCTTCTTACTCAGTTTCTTTTGTCTTTTGTTTTCCAGTACAAATACATTCTTACTTGATATGTACACTGACTTAAAGGGATACTCCAGTTTTTTTTGGAAATAGGCTCATTTTACAACTCCCCCAGAGTTAAACTGTTGAGTTTTACCGTTTTTGAATCCATTCAGCCGATCTCCGGTTCTGGCGGTACCACTTTTAGCATAGCTTAGCATACATCATTGAAGTGGACAAGACCATTAGCATTTCTAAAAAAAAATGACCAAAGAGTTTCGATATTTTTCCTATTTAAAACTTGACTCTTCTGTAGTTACATCGTACACTAAGACCGACGGAAAATGTAAAGTTGCGATTTTCTAGGCTGATATGGCTAGGAACTATACTCTCATTCCTGCGTAATAATCAAGAAACTTCACTGCCGTACCATGAGTGCAGCAGGCGTAATGATATGGCGCAGCGCCTGAAAATAGTCCCCAGCTCGGTAACTTCCAACGTGACCGGGACTAAGGGCTATGACACACTGGCTGCGTGGCGCAAGCGTGGCGTTTCTGTTGCGTGTCAGCTGCGTGGCGGCTGCGTCGCGTTTTCTGTGTCTTTGCACACTAGAAACGTGTCTGACGCTGCGCTGCTGACACGGATCACCCTTGTTCGACATATGGGAGAGAGTTGTGGAAGCCCTATACTTCGTGTTAAGCATTTAAATATAAAGCCTACTGATAAAGACACTGTCAGCAGTATTGACAGCAAAATATGACTACAGAATATTTCGTTCTGTATTGACAGGTGCAATATTTGAAAATTGATAATTAGGCCTATTTATTTATGTATTTTTAAATTAGGCCTATATTTATATCTGAATTTGTCAAAACCTAGACTTTCAACCGTCAAAATGTAATTTATTAATATGTATACGTGTACAAAATAACATATAAACATCTTTTCCAATTCTATTTTGCCTGGAAACGCTTCCAACACGCTTGCGTTTCGCGTAAAAAAAAAGGGGTCGGTTCTATTTCTAGCATGCACGCGTTTTCCGCACGACTCGAGCCGCGCCCGAGACGCGTGTGTCACGCAGGCAGTCTGCAAGCTCTAATCTGTTAACATGGGAGCCGAAATAAAAACGGACACGCCACGCAGCTGAGACGCATACGCCGCGCCGCCAGTGTGTCATGGGCCTAAGTGCCTGTGCCTGCTGCTCTCATGGTACGGTGGTAAAGTTTCTTGATTACTACGCAGGAATGAGAGTATAGTTCCTAGCCATATCAGCCTAGATAATCGCAACTTTACATTTTCCGTCGGTCTTAGTGCACGATGTAACTACAGAAGAGTCAAGTTTTAATAGGAAAAATATCGAAACTCTTTGGTCATTTTTTTTTTGAGAAATGCTAATGGTCTTGTCCACTTCAATGATGTATGCTAAAAGTGGTACCGCCAGAACCGGAGATCGGCTGAATGGATTCAAAAACGGTAAAACTCAACAGTTTACCTCTGGGGGAGTTGTAAAATGAGCCTATTTCCAAAAAAGTGGAGTATCCCTTTAAGGTATTTCTGAAAGTTGTATCAAAATTATGAGTTTATACTTAAAAAGAACATCTGGTAATGTGGTCAGAAAAAATAAACTTAATTTCAAAGGGGAAACACGTTATTTTTCTTTCCACATTTGCAATAATTTAATAGTATTTATTAAATTAAATAATATGTATATATGTAATTAAAATAATTATAAAACAGTAATAGCAACATAATATTTAATCAATTATATATATAGAGAGAGAGAGAGTAGTATTTTTGTTTGTCATTTATTACCTCATCAATATTATTTTTTCTATGCTACGTATATCTTTAAAGTCTGCTTTCTTCTAGGGAACAGGTGTGCAATGCATGAAAAAAATCTTTCCTTGTCTAGTAGCAAGATTACAGAACGTTTTTTATTACATTTATATTTATTCATTTCAAGGTGACTTAGAAAAGATGCAAAAATTCAATGGAAAATGAAAATATCTGCGATAAATCATATGGAGTCTACAATATTAACAGCACCGCAGAATAAGTGCAAAACAATTCAGAGAAAGAGTTTCTTTATTTTAAACAACAGCAAGTGGATTCCAGATGAAAGAGTTTACAGAGGAGTCGTGTTTTCAGACAGATAAACCCCAGCTTTTTGGGGAACAATTTAATTAAACTCTTTGAAATCAGCAGTAAAGGGAATATTACATGCAGTGACTGACTATATACGAGTAAGGGATTATAAAATACAGGCAGTCGTTCATTATCGCAAAATAATGAGTTTATTTTGCAGTGTAGTATTACCGTGCACATAACACGGCTGCTTACCAAATAAAAAAGTAAATAGACATGAAATATTGATTTGGGCTGAAATGATTATGTGAGAAGAAAGTGAGTGTGGAATGAAATGAGAGGCATGAATCTAGCACAGTTATGATTGTGTGTTTGTTTCTATAGTGAACGGAGGCTGGTCCACATGGACCGAGTGGTCGACGTGTAACAGTCGCTGTGGGCGGGGCCTACAGAGACGAACCCGTAGCTGCACCAATCCTGCGCCTCTGAACGGGGGGTCGCCGTGTGATGGACTGGCCATCCAAAAAAACTCCTGCACATCAGTGTGCACAGGTACGTTTCATTTGACACGAACAGAAACGAGACAGAAGTGTGCCAAGGCGTCGAGACGAAACATGAGTCGTGAAATTGTAGAAATGCTTATCACATGACATTAGCACACGATATTGACCTGCATCTGTCTCTAACAGCCTTATGTTTGTTTGTGTTTTTGATGTTACCCTGACCATCACCCATAATTCTGCATGAAATCTTCTAAATGAGATTGTGTTTGTCATTTATGACAACATAAATTCAACATGGCTGACAAAAGTCTTGTTAGCTTGTTAGCAAAAGTTAACTTAGTTTGTAATGGAAAGAGTCATCAAAAATTCATCATTGTTAAAAAATTAGAACGATTATATTATGTTTTGAAGTAAAAAGTATTTTTTTTAGGTAAACATGCTTTGTACTTAGTGATATACTCTGTATATATAGTGACATCAAACAGTATCAAAAATATTTCAAAACATTAAAATATTTTAAAAAAACAATAAATTTGTATATGACGTCACAATAATCATCCCAACAGTGCTATTATTTATTCTATTATTGTATTTATTCGTATTTTGAATTTATTTTTATTTTTCTATTTTCAGTTTTCATTTGAGTTTTATTTTAAGTTTTTGTAATTTTGTTTGTTTTATATATATATTTTATTTTTCTGTTCTTTTATTTAATTATTTTTGTGTCATTTTTGTACTTTACTAACTTTTGTACTTGCTTATTATATTTAGTTTACAAGGAACCATTTCTAATTTTTTTTTAAGTTTTAAGTTAAAAAATGTATATCTTATATTTTATTTTATTTTATTTAAGATTTATTTCAATTAACAAATACAATTTTATTGGTTTTAGTTATAGTTAAAAACAACATTTAATATTTTATTTTATTTAAGCTTTATTTCAATTAACAAATACAATTTTATTGGTTTTAGTTATAGTTAAAAACAACATTTAACATTTTATTTTATTTAAGCTTTATTTCAATTAACAAATGCAATTTTATTGGTTTTAGTTATAGTTAAAAACAACATTTAATATTTTATTTTATTTAAGCTTTATTTCAATTAACAAATACAATTTTATTGGTTTTAGTTATAGTTAAAAACAACATTTAATATTTTATTTTATTTAAGCTTTATTTCAATTAACAAATACAATTTTATTGGTTTTAGTTATAGTTAAAAACAACATTTAATATTTTATTTTATTTAAGCTTTATTTCAATTAACAAATGCAATTTGAATAGTTTTAGTTATAGATAATGAAATCATCTAATATTTCAGCTTTTATTTCAATTACAAAATACAGTTTAAATAGTTTTAGTTATAGTTGTATTTAAAAATACCAGCACTACATGACATGTGGAAGTTTTCATATCACGATACTCTTCTGAAACTAATCACAGTATTTCCGTCGTGACGTAAACATACAGTGAGGTCAGTTCTCAAGCCTGAAAGAAACATGATAGGGAATTTATTTCAGATTTTTTCCCACATTGACATTTATTCATTTGGCAGTCGCTTTTATCCAAAGTACTTCCAAATGAAAAATTCCTTCCATAATCAGAAGGATGGAAAATTCACTCTGAGACTATTGAATTACAAGTGAGGAATTCCTTTCATAAAAACTTAATTCTTTTCCAGTCCAGTTTGAGTTCTTCACCTCTTGATAGCATCAGACAAATGCATCTTTTCCAGGCCCATCAGTTCAGCTTTCAAGCCAGACTCTTCCCCTATACTTTGGCCCCTTGGGGCCCTTAAGGGCCAAACACATTTCCATTCCCTCCTGCCGATGAGAGTCAGTTCACTGTAAAGCAGGTGAGATTAAAGCATCTGAACCCAGCAGGAGAGATGCCACAGTCACACGCTAATGACTGACCCATATACAGCAGTGCACTTACTCCCGGTGACAGAATCCAGAGTCAGGCTGAGAACCAGACTAGACCATGCAGAGCCATGGACGGGAAATGCATTTTATTTTATTTTATTTTATTTTATTTTATTTTATTTTATTTTTTATTTTTTTAATTTAATTTTATTTTATTTTATTTTATTTTATTTTATTATTTTTATTTTTTTTATCTTAATTTTATTTTATTTTATTTTATTTTATTTTATTTTATTTTATTTTATTTTATTTTATTTTAGTTACATTTTTGTGTGGAACTAAACCAATGCGTTGCTACTCATTTCACATGCAAAGAGCTTGGCCAGTCATAACAAGGCTCATTAACATATAGTTAATAGTCTTAATATATATGTATATATATATATATATATATATATATATATATATATAACATATATAAAATATTAAATATATAACATTTAAAACTACCTTGACCGTAACATTTTAATGGACGAGGAATATAATAAAATGATACAATATTGCCTCCTTAATAAAAATAATCAGTGTGTATCACAGTATTTTTAATGCTTGTTTCTGTTGTTTGTGGTGTGTTTAGTCGATGGCGAGTGGGGTGACTGGAGCAAGTGGTCGGCGTGTAACACAGAGTGCACACAGTGGAGGAAGAGAGAGTGTAACGCCCCTGCACCCCAGAACGGAGGACAAGACTGTGACGGAGACACGCTACTGTCGCAGAACTGCACTGATGGACTCTGCCTACAAAGTGAGTGCACTCTCTCATACAAACACACACGCACGCACGCCACGCACACACACACAAAACATCACATTTAAAAGCTGCTTTGTTCATGGGGACCAAAAAATGTCCCCACAAGGATAATGATTTTGGATGTTGCTATCTTTGTGAGGACATAACTTAGGGATTACCAGGAATACACACACATACAGTACACACACACACAAACACACACACACATTGTGTTTTCATGTTTTATGGGGACTTTCCATAGACATAATAATGATTCTTATACTGTACAAACTGTATATTCCCCTACCCCTAAACCTAATAAATGACCTTTATTAGCTTTAATTTGATATATTTTCAGTTTTCATTTTAATTTTAGGTTTTAGTAATTTTGTTATGTGCTTTTAATATTTAATTTTAATATTTCTATTTAACTTTAATTTATATTTATTTCACATGTATTATATGTAGGCCTATTTCAATTTTAGTTGTTTTAGTACTTCAACTTATTTTTTTTAGTTAGTTGCCAAATCAACATTTCTAATTTTCATTTAAGCTTTTTTTAAGTTTAAGTTTTTCATCTGATATTTCTATTTTATTTTATTCCAGCTTTATGTCAAATAATGAGAAATTGTGTAAAAAAAACAAAAAAAACTCCTGCTCATCCTCGTCCATATATTGGCAGTCTTTTTATTTAAAAAACACACAAAAGTATCACAGATTTATCCTTTGCGGCATGTGTTGTATATTCCTAGTGTTCTGGGGGTTTATGATATGAAATTGAATTATTATTTAATGAAAATCTTGACCTTGCCCGTTGGTCTTCTGTGCACGGCTACACGACGTGTGACTTGTGACTCTGTTAGCGCCGCAGTTCACTCCATCTCACCCAGAAAAAGCACACAAGTTGTGAGAAATCAAGGTTAACAAAAACGTGACTAAAACTCAATAAGCACATACAGTACATTTACACTAAATAGTAACCAATAAACCTAAACACTGTCTATCTAAAAAAAAAAAATATATATTATACAGCCAAATTGAAAATAAAGTAATAATCAGTTAAGATTGTACCAAATATTATCAGTAATTAATAAAAGTTTACTTGGCTAAAGAAAGTTGTAAAATGACAAGCAGGGACTTTTGAGAACACTTTTGAGCGATTAAGTCAAGTCAAGTCAAATATATTTATATAGCGCTTTTCACAATACAGATTGTATCAAAGTTGCTTCACAGTATCAATCAAAACAACTTAACAGTCTGTTTATTTGTTTTTATTACTGGAAAAAGACATCCAAGTTTGGTAGAGCTGATCAGTGGTATGATGGGTCATTTAATTTTAATATCCTCAACTGAGCAAGCCAAAGGCAACAGTGGCAAGGAACCGAAAAACTCCATCAAGTGACCCGATGGTGTCCTAAACCTCCATCAGATGACCCAACGGAGAAAAAAAAAACCTTGGGAGAACCCAGGCTCAGTCGCGGCCAGTTCTCCTCTGGCGTTTATGAAGTAGAGGCCGAATTTACAGTAATGTAAGATAACAAATTTATATGAATGCCTGGCTAAATAGATGTGTCTTTAGTCTAGTTTTAAACTGGGAGAACGAGTCTGAGCAACGAACAATATCAGGAAGGCTATTCCAGAGCTTCGGAGCTAAATGGGAAAATGCTCTCCCTACTTTGGGGGATCTGGATATCCTAGGAATGACCAGAAGCCTCGAATTTAGTGATCTTAAAGAGCGCGATGGATTATAGGGCGATAGAAGATCCGTTAAATAGACTGGAGCTAAACCATTCAGAGCTTTATAAGTCAAAAGCAAGACCTTGTTATTAATACGGAACTTTATAGGTAACCAATGAAGTGATGATAGAATCGGTGTTATATGATCATATTTTCTTGATCTAGTAAGAACTCTAGCGGCTGCATTTTGGACTAACTGTAGCTTGTTTATTGAAGATGCAGGACAACCAGCTAATAAAGCATTACAGTAATCTAGTCTCGAGGTCATGAATGCATGAACTAACTTTTCTGCATCAGAGACTGATAGCATATTACGTAGCTTAGCAATGTTTCTAAGGTGGAAAAAGGCTGTTTTTGTAACATATGAAATATGCTTTTCAAAAGACAGGTTGCAGTCTAATGTAACACCCAGGTCTTTTACTGTAGTGGATAAAGTAACAGGGCATCCTAATATGTTAAAGTCGTGCTGTGAAAGGTTTTGTGGACGGTTTTTAGAACCGATAAGTATTACCTCTGTCTTGTCTGGATTTAATAAAAGATAAGAGACAATAAGAGTATTGTGTGATCTATAGTATCGAACGCAGCACTGAGATCAAGTAAAACTAGTACTGAGGTACAGCCTTGGTCCGAAGCTAAAAGTAAATCATTTGTGATTCTAACAAGCGCAGTTTCAGTGCTATGATGTGGCCTGAACCCAGACTGAAACTTTTCATAGATGTCGTTTTCTTGCAAGAAAGAGCCGAGTTGAGCGGACACAACTTTTTCTAATATTTTTGACATGAATGGAAGATTTGAGATGGGTCTGTAATTTGCTAGGTTATTTGGATCTAATTGTGGTTTCTTGATAAGAGGTTTTATAACTGCCAGCTTGAACGTTCTTGGAACATGACCTAAAGATAAAGATGAGTTAATAATATTGAGAAGAGGCTCTTCCACTATAGGTAACACTTCTTTTAAATAGTTTAGTTGGTATAGAATCTAATAAACATGTTGTTGTTTTAGATGAAGTGATAAGTTTATTCAACTCTTTTTGTTCTATAGTTGTAAAGCATTGTAGTTGTTCTTGCGGGGTGATAATTGCGGCTGAATTATAAGGCGCGAGCAAAGATTGAGCGTTTACGATTGTGATTCTGATGCTTTCAATTTTCTCGATGAAGAAGTTCATGAAATCATTACTACTAAACTGTAACGAGGTATTTTGTTCAGACGACGTCTGTTTATTTGTTAGTCTAGCCACGGTATTAAATAAAAACCTTGGATTATTTCGGTTGTTTTCTATTAGTTTGCTGAGGTGCTCAGCCCTGGCCGTTTTAAGGGCCTTTTTATAACGTGACATACTGTCTTTCCACGTGATTCTAAAGACCTCTAAATTAGTTTTTTTCCATTTACGCTCTAAATTATGGGTTTCTCTCTTTAAAACATTCGTAGTATTATTGTACCATGGTGCTATACTTTTTTCTCTGACCTTTTTTAATCTAATGGGTGCAACAATAACGATTACTCAAAAAGTGCTGATTATAAAAAAAAAAGAAATGTCTACAGAATCTTGCATAAAACTTTCTCCGCCTCTGAATTGCTTTCCTTTCAGCAGATTTCACCAAGACCATGTGGATTATTGGTTATTGTCATCATCTGTTTAGTCACTATTTTAGGCTGTTGTTGTTGGTTGCAGACCGTAGTTAACACAGTCCTTTAATGCAAGTTAAAGGGATAGTTCACTTTGAAATTAATTTTTGATATGTTTTAGCTTACCTCAAGGGCATCCAAGATGTAGGTGTCTTTGTTTCCGCAGTATTTTAAATTTTGATATTTTTAGGTCAAACCGTTCTTGTCTGTCAGTGGTTACAAGAGGTAAAAACGATATAAATACTGTTCGTTTTCTCACACAAACCGCTCGTTTCGTGTCTTAGGCCATCAATGTGTACTTACATTTACGAGTCATTAAATCATATTTAATTTGGACTTCTCTGTGCATGCTCTTTGAGGTGGACCCCATAGACCTGCATTATATGACTGACAGACAAGAACGGTTTGACCTAAAAATATCAAAATTGAAAATACTGCGGAAACAAAGACACCTACATCTTGGATGCCCTTGAGGTAAGCTAAAACATACCAAAAATTAATTTCAAAGTGAACTATCCCTTTAACATGGCAACTCTGAAATACGTCACATTACAAAAAATACATTGCTAATGTTGTTTATTGTTGACTTTAATGCTATTAGTGGATTTGTGGATTTCCTCTGTAAAGCACATAAACAAGGCATTTGATTTGTTTCAATCACTGTTACAATGGACACAGTACAAATTGGTGGTGAGAATCTTTGAGAAACTAGTGGTTTGATCGTCTCTACAGAACTGACAGGTGACATGAATGTATGTAATCATGAGCCATCAGCGTGGCAGTTTAATTTGTCTGCTGTGTTTAGAGCAATGAGCATTGATAGAGAGAGAGAGAGAGAGAGAGAGAGAGAGAGAGAGAGAGAGAGAGAGAGAGAGAGAGAGAGAGAGAGAGAGAGAGAGAGAGGCAATCTCCTCTGTTTTGTGTTGTGTAATGGACCTCATGTCTCTCTCTCTCCCCCGCAGGCACTTCCTCACTAAAGTTTAAACTTTAAAAGTTCTTCCCCTTAAAAGTTGAGCAGGCACAATCCATTTAACCCCACTCAACTCGAGTCTCTCAGCAGTAGCGGCTCCTGAGTGTAAATATAGATAGGGCAGATTCTGGGTCTTAACGCTAGTTCGCGATAAACATTTTGTAAGCTTTATATTGTAATCGCTGACACATGCAGACACACTTTTGCACTAGTGGTGAGGAAAAGAAAAAAAGTTATATTCTCAGAACAAACATAAAACAACACAACATAAGGCTATTCACATTAGCATGTTTAAACTTTCATTAATTTGATACGAAGAACAGACATGCCAACTGGGCTGCCTTTCCTAAAAGCATCGTAGGCTTAAGTAGATCGTAGAACTATTGCCACCAATGGTCTCTACGATCAACAATGCTTTTGAGAAATGAAATATAGCTGAAGTGGATTGATATCATCTTGGTCTGGTTAGGTTTACACACTGAAGCGTGAAAATAAGTGGGGGAGTTTGAAATTTCCCCCAATGGCTCTCAATCAGAGCACGCTGCAGTTCCATTTTTCACCACAGATTTACATTGGATGATTGTGGGGCGCCGTAGAGCTGGGTAGGACTTAAGGCCCGTACACACCGGGACGAATATCCGCGCGCGTTATTCGCCAGCGTTTTTCAACGCGTTTTTTTGTGTTCACACCCAAGCGATTTTCGCTTGCGATGAGCCGAGTGAACGTGCAAATTCATTCCCTGACATTAGATGGCGCTTAATGTAAAACAGAAATAGTCCTATTTTGTAGTCGCTGTTGCGTTTGCCATATAGTTCATTATGTTCCGACACCGAGACCAGCAGCTCTACATTCATCTTGCCTCGCATCTTCCTCGTCTTATTTCTTCCCGGCAGTGTAGACGCTACTTGGCTTATATCTTCTTCGCCGTTATGTATGTGTGCTCGGCAAGACCGTTTTGTGTTTGAGCGCCCCCAAGTTGTGTTTTACTGTAACTTCAGAAGCTCCAGACACGTGAGCAAAAGCACCAATCTCAATGGTCCGATAGTTTTTGACGCGGCGCGTCAAACCAAAAAAACAAACCCGAGACGTTTTTTTAAAAAATTACGCTTTTACGCGTGGCGTTTTTCACGTCGGTGTGCACACTCACATTGCCGCCCTTTGTTTAGTCACGAGGCGTTAAACGTCAGCGAATATCGTGCACGAAATTCGTCCCGGTGTGAACCAAGCGTGCCGCACAAGCCCTCAAAAGTGAAGCCAAAACGTCTCGATCGCCCCTCAGTGGCCGGTCCGTCCTAGTATAGGTCATAAGCCCCGCCTCCCCATGTTATTCAACTGCACGTGAGACCAACTAAACAATTAAATTACACTTCACATATCCTTTTTCCAAAGATAGTTTCTGTCATTTACTGTAGTTTTTATCACGCTGATGTATTTTCAAGTGTTTGTTTTTAAAATAAGTTTGTTTTTAGTTAGTTATTTGATGCTATAAAAACGGTTCTGTGACATCATGATTGACAGGTTCTCTGTGCGAACTTAGTAGTCACTGAAGCACCAACAGACTTTTTTTCATAATGTTGACTATGTGGTTAGTAGTTGTATTTACCTCATTTTAACGAGGTACTGCAATTAGTAGACATCATTGGAGAGGAACAGAGCAGACAAGGCCACTTAAGAAAAGTGCAGGGCGTGTGCTTACGATTGATTCAGCGAGAGTGGGGGCGGGGCCTTGATTTCGCGGCTTTATTTCCTGCTCACGACTGCGCATGACTGGTCCCGAAAACGCTACTGCGCAGACTCAAGTCCCAAGATGTCAGCGCCATATCGGGACACTGGCGGCTTCAGTTCTCTCCGATGGAAAAGAGCGAAGGGGCGTCGTCCATCTTTTTTTACAGTCTATGGTGTGAACAGGCCTTAAGGCACTCTCTGCCCAGCTTAGTATCATTGTACATGCCTGCCGAAGCCATACGCTAAATTTTAATATATCCTGCTCAGTTTACGTTTAAAATAGTCTAGAAAATCCACAAATACTTGTTACAGAATGCTGAACACATTTAATATTGGTTCAGTTTAAATAGCCACGGCCGTCTCTCAGCATCATTACTCCAGTCTTCAGTGTCACATGATCCTTCAAAAAGATGCTGATTTGCTGCTCAATAATTTCTTGTTGTCAGTGTTAAACAACTAATGAGTTGTGTTGCTTGGAAATCGTGATACATCATTTTCAGGATTCTTTGATAAATAGAGCGTTCAATAGAACAGCATTTATTTGAAACAGAAATCTTTTGTGACATTATAAATGTCTTTACTGTCAATTAAATGTCCCTGCTGGATAAAAGTACTGACCCCAAACTATCCCGTAGTTGAATATGGCCAAAAAAAACAAAACAATTTATATCAGCTTAAATAAAAAGCTTGTCAGTTATAGCTTGTCTGTAATTAATCTGCTCTACATCATGAAAAGATTGTAGATTGGCTGCAGTTTGAAACTAGTATTTCCACAATAAGTGTGACAAAATTGTGATAACCACATGTTTACCTGATTACCATCTCACCAGGGGAGCCTGACTGTTAGATGTTTCCAGCTGGTATGTGTTGGTACAGTATGTTGTTTCCCTCCGTCGGTGAGATTTCACGTGAATTACCATCTACATGTTCAGTTTCTCATGCTCTCTTTACACTGTATCTTCTGTTTAGGCATTTCGGTCTCACATCACCAAATCACATCTCGCTGTTTTTGTTTGACATTCATATTATTTTGTCTAATACCCCCTTCCTCTCTCTGAAGGTTCAGTATATCAGCTATCCGTTCAGCCTAAAGGGACGGGAGAGGAGGGGTTTACAT